ACTCTTTGCTTTAAATATGTTTTCTTGCATGCTTTAGTGACCACATCACTTAGTGATTTTTTTGACTTAAAACATCAAAGCTCATCGAGTGTTATTGTCTTAGGAAAAATCCTATGTACTTTTACACACAAATTTTATCCTGACTTTTTTTTTTTATTGCGTGATCCAGTCTTTGTGCAGTTGAACTACTGACTGACTGTGATTCACTGTTATTTTTCCCCTTACATGAAATTTAAACTTACCTTTAGTAAACGGGACTTTTTTGAATGCGAATACAGGCAGTTTGGGTGAATGGGTTCCCAGGTGCTTGGGCTGCTGCGGGGGACTGGTGGTGGTGGGTAAGCAGGTGACATTGTGCACTGTGAGCTCTGAAGTCACTTGGTGGTTACACCAGCCATGGGTCGGGCACTCTTGGCTCAGTGGTTGGGTATTGAGTGGAGGGGGAAAAACCAAAGCCAGCTGGATTTAAAAAGACTTTCCCAAAATGTCATCCATGACATACGCATCATGTAATTGAAGGGCCTTCATGCTTGTCTCAAATTGTGCGGTTTCAGGTTTTTTTTCTAATATTATTGTCTAATATTTTTCCTAATTGTAGATAGTAGCATCGTTAATAGACACATAATGAAGATGCCTTGTATTTTATGAATAGCTTAAGTGGGCTGAGTGGTTATAAAACCCTTAATCCCAGAGAAACTTTATAAGAACTTTACTAATTCATTGGAAAACTTGGATTTGATAAGTAAATTGCATCCTTACTTATGCTGTCTTGTCAGCAGAGCCATGGGAAAAAATTACTATTTTTACTGTATTTCTCCTGAGTAGACCTCTAAATCTTACTTAAAAGGAAGAAAAAAAAAATAATAGCAGCCATTAAAAAAAAAAGGGAGAAAGCATTTGCTGAAGCAGTAAAAGTTGTCAGGTTGTTTCATTCCTTTTTTTTCCAGATCAGATAAGTCAACTTGAAAGATTAGGAGATCTCTAGCTTTATGCCAGCTGTTTTGGGTTCCTTTATTTATTTGTTTGTTATGTCCTTTCTTTTTCAAACAGAAACATTTAAAATTAGTAGAATGAAATGGTTGCTATCCATTTGAGGAAGATACTGACACACACAACTCATATCACTTAAATATGAATTTGTTCCACTGATGATCCTGCAGTCGTCTGTGTGTGCACAAAATGCTGTTTCTTCATGTGGTGAAGTACTAGGGGCTGAGGCTTGCTGAACTGAGACTTCACCCTCCCCGTGCTTCCTAACTCATTGATCGTGTTATTCCACTGCTGCTCAATCCTAAAGCAAGCTGGTGGCTTTAAATTTGATTCTCAGATTTTTAACATCCACGTTTTGCTTTTCAGAAAAATTCGCTAAGTTCGGTGTAATACAAGAGGCAGATTGTCAGGCAGAGCCTCTGCCATAGCACCTGCTCTTTCCTTTCCTCCCCAGAGTAGTGGAGAGCTCCCACGCCTCCTGTGGGGGCAGAAGCTCTCCTTTGCTCTCTAGAGTTAGCCCAGAAACGTAATTTCCTCAGTATTTAATTTCAATGAACATTATGATAAATTGTTGCTGAGTGTACTTGTGAAAGCATGGTTATTTTTCATGCTGACAATCATGCCACATTAAAAAAATACCTTGATTATTTTGTCTCTGAAACCTGTCTTTGACAAATTGAATGTCTTGATTTGAATTTTTTTTTTTGCTGAATTAGTGATACTTTTGACTTTATTGACAGTCTTTATTTTAAATGCGCCCAAACTGTTTTCATTTTTCAGAATTGCCATTGCCAAATGTTTACTCAGATGACTCAGTGTGATTTTTTTAAGTGGGTTGAAATACCATATTTTGCATCAAAACTCTTTTTAATGAAGTTTGGATAAGAATGTCATGTACTTGTTGCAGGCAGACTTTGTGAATTACATTTGTTTCTTCCATTGTGGTTTTCAGTAGCCAAAGGAGGGACTGTGTTCATGAATACTGCAGCTGTGCTTAAAGAAGAAAAAATTTAATGCTTTCTGCACTGGGTCACATGTTCTCAGAATGAAGCTTTATTGGGCCAGGCTGTTCTTTGTAGCCTGTCAGTTGGCATTTTTCAGCAATGTGGAAATAGAACCACAGAATGGTTTGGGTTGGGAGGGACCTTCAAAGACCATGTAGTCCAGCCTCCCTGCTGTGAGCAGGGACATCTTCCACTAGACCAGGTTGCTCAAAGCCCCGTCCAACCTGGCCTTGAACACTTCCAGGGCTGGGGCATCCACAACTTCTCTGGGCAACCTGTTCCAGTGCCTCACCACCCTCATCGTAAAGAATTTCTTCCTTATGTCCAATCTAAACCTGCCCCTCTTTCAGTTTAAAACTGTTGCCCCTTGTCCTGTCACTACAGGCTGTGGTAAAAAGTCTCTCTGTCTTTCTTATAAGCCCTTTGTAAGTATTGAAAGGCCACAGTAAGGTGTCCCCAGAGCCTCCTCTTCTCCAGGCTGAACAACCCCAACTCTCTCAGCCTTTCTTCATATATGTATATATGTGCTTCTTTTTTTCTCAGCCTTTCTTCATACACATGTGCTTCTTTTTCTTAAGATATCCTAGGTTGCTTAATACTGAAAACTTCTTATAAGCAAATTATCTCTATGGTATACAAAAGCTGAATTATATATTTTGCTGTATTTCATGCTCCAAGAGTGGAATAATATTTCATATTGTTTCAGCATATTTTATGCTGGCTTCTCAAAATACCTATAGTCTGGCTTCTTGATAATAAAGTAATATGAGAAAATGCATACAGTATCACTGTCACTGTTAATTAAATACAAAAATATGTTAAAAAAACATGCTTTAAACTGCTTCTGTTTTAAATTCTACTTAACAGGAGCCCACCTGCTTGTTGTCCCCACCTGGCTGCTGTCTCTGTTACTTCTCAGTGCAAACCCTTGGTTTCTGTGTTTCTGCCTGCCAGCTGCTGGCACTCAGCACCCAGGGGATAGCCTTGGAGCTAAAGCAGTAAGAAGGCCATTCCTTTTGGGACAAATCCAAAGTGCCAGCGTGCACTGCCAAAGATCCTGCACCCAGTTTTAGGCTGGGTACAAACCTTTCTCTGAGTGTCGGCAGACTTTTGTAGAATGGTCTTGAAATATTTTTTTTTCCTCTAATAGTTAGCTTTCCGTCAATTAATATGGGTAACTGCATGTGATGCTGGTATAGGGGGACTGTATTTCTTTTCTATCTTGGTCCCTCGTCTGGGAAATCTCAGTAACAGAGTAGTCTGCCTTGTCCATGACTATTCTGTCTTCATTAGGCTTTGTTATATACGTTCTCAGTTTTCTCATGGTTACCCTTTTGCTTTGTGGGGTGTTCACTCCTGAATTAGCTCATCCTGGTGCATGCCACTCTTCTGAAGGCAAGTGTCCAGGCTTGTTGGCTGTGAAGCAATGCTGGGTCTGAAGCCCTTTCTGGTCCAGGCGGGTTTTCTTATTATTCCTCACTAATGAACTGGTAAACCTTACTGCAGATGAAAGAGACAAACTGTTTTGCAGCGGAGCCCGCATGCTGCTGCCTGTGATGTGACCTCGTGGGCTCTGCAGGGTGTTTAATTGACACCTTCCCCTGGCAGCAGCAGAATTGGGACAACTGGCAGCAGCAAATGTCTGTGTGGTCTGTTTGCTTTTTGGGTTGTAAGAAGTGAAATTCTCAAACTTTGAGCTGTTGTTTATAACTGTCAAAAGTGTGAAGGAGGAAAAGAACTTTTTATAGTAGATTGAAATCAAAATTACTCTGCAAGAAGGTTAGAGTAGCTTCCCTCACTGCGTCACCAAAGTGAGTAAAGCCCTGGAGTCTGAGCATGCTACACAGCCTACAGTCAGCTGGTGATGCCAGGCTTTGTAAATCGAGGAACTACGGTTCACTTTCACCATATCTTTATGCTTACACTGTAAGGGAATTTGGGCAGTGTTTCTCCTTCTTTGTAGATAATTACATGAGTGGGAAGGACATCCATGGTTTGAACCTAATGTGGAGAATGGATTAGGGGATCCTGTTCCTATGTAGTTGCTTAGGAGGTAACTGGTATTTGCACTTTTTCCACTAAGTAGGAGGGAGTAAGGACTTTCTACCTAACCTTATTCATGAGGTGTCATCCTTGAATTTCTTGTCTGTAGTTCTTATGTTTAGTCTGTTCTTCGGTTTGGCTGAGTTCCTTGTTAGGCATTAATGCATGATGCACATGAGGGCACCTGGCAGGAGAAGTGATATAACAGAACTTAGTAAAGGGGAAGGAAAAAGGAGATGCAGAAAATACAGATGATGCTGGTGGTTCTGAAGTAGAAGATTGGAGAGGGTAACTAATGACCATCCTGAATTCAGGATAGAAAAATACCTGTGTCCACACTCAGTAGTAGGTTCAAATTACAAAGGCCCTGGGTAAATTTTTCTGGCTGGGCAAATGCATTTTCAAATCTATTATAAAACTTCATCTCCTCAACTGCCAGTGCGTTGGTTTCTCTCAAATCTTATTGTGACCTCCTTTGGAATAATTAAAGGAGTAGTCATGTAATAGTCACGGGAGGTGTCAGGATAAAGCTTTCCAGCAGTTGTTCAAAGGTGCACATGATGTCCTTTATGATAAAATATTGAGGTTATTAGTCTTGCACATCTTGTATTTGAAGTCTGAAACTCCATTAATGACACCTACGTTTTTCCTGATGTCTTTGATGCAATTGATAATTGCACCAAATTGCAATAACTTTAGTCTCAGTGTTCAGTGTTGAGAAACTCTGTGACCGTGCAACGTATTTTTCATAACTTTGTGCTTGTATAACTCATTTAAGATTTATTCAGCGTGAGTAACTTATATTGTGTCTTGGATTATTAACTCCAGTGAAGAAGCTGGGATGTGCTGAAAAAGATTAGTTAGCTGAAAGAAACATTTCTTGAAGAGCTCATGTATTTTTGTATGCAATGCGTATTAATTTTTTTCTTTATTTTCTTGTCTTACATTTTCTCTTTTTTAGCTGTCAAACGTTTGATGAAAGAGGCTGCAGAACTGAAGGATCCTACAGATCATTATCATGCACAGCCTTTGGAGGTTTGTTTCTCTGTTTGCAAAAGCTTGTAATTAGGCTGTGTTATTAATATATACTTTTAAGTTCTCTGTATGCATATGTATTTAAAATGTACATATTTAGATACTAGCAGACCTTTTAAAATTGATTCAATTCTTTTTTTCCTATGGTTGGAATCAACAGCAGAATTCCACTTTAATGGTATTGTAGTTCCAGGTTGTTAGTGAGAGTGCATAATATTGGTTTTACATTGCACCTGAGTAATTTTATCGCACAGGTATAATATGTTTATTCCCCCTCCTCCTTCCTGAGACTACATAAATGCATTATGTTTAAGTTAAGCTTTTTACACCTAAACCTGACATCTGGCTCAGTTGCTGAGTTGCTTAGCAAAACACTTAAGCCTAGGAGATCTGTGAGGACTCACTACTTTGCGTACAAAAAAACCTGTGAAAAACTGTAAATGGGTGCAGTTCTGGATGCATTGTAAGAGGGAATGCTTAGATTCCACTTAAATAGTAGCTTCCTGAAGTCTTCTAAACACCCAGTTAAGTTTTTGGGCTGAGAGGACAGTGAAGTTCCGGTGGTTAGAAGCTTAAACAGAAACCCCTTCTGATTTTGCTGGAATAATAAAAAAGGCAGTGTTCTGTGGTATTCAGTTCGGGGGGTTGATTTAGCTGTTCACAGAAATACGTAGCACACTTAACATGCTTACAGAAAATAGCATGTTCCTAGGTGCTATAAAATATACCTTATTATGGACTACTACTTTTTGTCTGTACCTTGTGTTTCCACTACCTGTGGTGAAATGTAAAGTTTAATTCATGCTATTACTTGTAACTTACATGAAGGTCTCATTTCTGGGTTAGAACAGTGACTTGCTGGGAAGAGAACAGTGGCAGATGAAAGGAAATGCTGGAAATGTTGATGGTTACCTCCCATCCTTGGAAAAAATTGTAACTAGGTGGGCAGTCACAGGCCTGTGATACCAATGTTCAGCATTAGTTGAGAGATCTTGTTCACTGACAGCAAGCTTTGTTTGGACTCCTGTCCTAATAGTAGGAGTTGTTCTGCTTGTAAATATTCAGGAAGTTGTGGGCATCATGAGATCTGCTACACAAAGCCAAACACAGAACCCCAAAGAAATAATGCTTAAAGAGAAGCTATTTATATGTCCAATTAAAATAATATTCCAAATTTCAAAGTGTACCTGTTGTGCAGTAATGCACAATAGCTGTTTCAAAATTTATTATTGTGGTGGGTTGACCCTGGCTGGACGCCAGGTGCCCACCAAAGCTGCTCTATCACTCCCCCTCCTAAGCTGGACAGGGGGGAGAAAATATAACGAAAGGCTCATGGGTTGAGGTGAGGACAGGGAGATCACACAGCAATTACCATCATAGGCAAAACAGACTCAACTTGGGGAAATTAGTTTAATTTATTACCAATCAAATCAGAGTAGGATAATGAGAAATAAAACCTAAATCTGAAAACACCCTTCCCCCCCCCCTCCCTTCTTCCCGGGCTTAACTTCACTCCTGATTTTTCTCTACCTCCAAGCAGCGCAGGGGGACGGGGAATGGGTGTTGCAGTCAGTTTATCACACGTCACACGTGCCGCTCCTTCCTCCTCAGAGGGAGGGCTCCTCACACTCTTCCTCTGCTCCAGCGTGGGGTCCCTGCCACGGGAGACAGTCTTCCATGAACTCCAATGTGAGTCCTTCCGACGAGCTGCAGCTCTTCACGAACTGCAGCAGTGTGGGTCCCTTCCATGGAGTGCAGTCCTTCAGGAACAGACTGCTCCAGCGTGGGTCCCCCATGGGGTCACAAGTCCTGCCAGCAAACCTGCTCCAGCATGGGCTCCTCTCTCTCCACGGGCCCACAGGTCCTGCCAGGAGCCTGCTCCAGCGCGGCCTTCCCACGGGGTCACAGCCTCCTTCAGGTGCATCCACCTGCTCCGGCATGGGGTCCTCCATGGGCTGCAGGTGGATATCTGCTCCACCATTAACCTCCATGGGGTGCAGGGGGACAGCCTGCCTCACCATGGTCTTCATCACAGGCTGCAGGGGAATCTCTGGTCTGGTGCCTGGAGCACCTCCTACTCCCTCCTTCTTCACTGACCTTGGTGTCTGCAGGGCTGTTTCTCTCACTCCTCTCTCCGGCTGCAATTGCACAGTTTTCTTTTCTCCTCTTCGTAAGTGTTATCACAGAGGCGCTACCACTGTCACTGATTGGCTTGACCTTGGCCAGTGGTGGGTCTGTCCTGGAGCTGGCTGGCATTGGCTCTATCAGACATAGGGGAAGCTTCTAGCAGCTTCTCACAGAAGCCACCCTTGTATTCCCCCCGCTACCAACACCTTGCCATGCAAACCCAATACATTTATGGAGAAGCAAAAGAGGATGGGAATTCTCTGGGGTGTGAGTCAAGTCCCTGTGTTGACTTGGGCATGGAAGGGTCTTTGAGGAGGCTGTCATTAATGTTCTTTCTTGGGGTGGGTCTCCCCTCGGTTCTCCAGAAATTATTATTCACTGGGACAAAGACCCAGTTTTCCCTTAGCTGACTCAGTTTTCCATCTGTCGGGTAATAAAACTCTTGTCACAATTGATACAACTAGAGTGAAGAGCTTGAATAATGAATTTGAGGGTTTCAACAAAGCCATTGTGTAAGAAAATTACCAGAAAGCTACAATATTTTATCCTTTTAACCAGAATCTTAGTACCGTGTTGGTTGTCTTACTCTCCATTTGATTTTGGCTTCTTAAAACTTCTGCTGTGCACTGCTTCTTTAGCCTGTCCTCGTTCAAGAAAATAGTGTTTAGTTGTCTACTTCTTTGACACGCTCTTCTTTCTCTTTTTTTCCTCTCCCTTTGGTGGGGGCATTTTAGGATAATCTTTTTGAATGGCATTTTACTGTTAGAGGCCCTCCAGATTCAGATTTCGACGGAGGGATTTATCACGGGCGAATAGTACTGCCACCTGAATATCCCATGAAACCACCCAGCATTATTTTGTTGACGGTAAGCATGTTTACTAGGTTTTCCTTTTTATGTGATCAATTTAACCGTAGGTGTCTGAGAGAGAGATTCTTGGCATTTAAGGTAATGTTATTTTTGTAAGAAAGGTGGCATAGTACAGTTAATGCTGCCAATTTAAGACCGGAAGTCTTCCAAGGTGACTTTGGTATTCTGTAATTACATGAAGCTTTGCACCTAATGAATGGAAGCTTCCTCCAGGAGTAATCACATTGCTGATGTGATTGTCTAACCTTCTGTTCTCTCCATGGGCCCTCTTGGTCTCTGGTGGAGACATTGGTCACATGTAGGAAGGCAGACCTATGGTTTGGGGCAAAGGCCCACGTTTGTGCATAGTTTCATAAAGCTATAGCTTTTCAGGCTCTCTGCATATGGTGTGTGGGTTACAGGAGCAACAGGCAAGCCACCATGTCATACTGGGACATGTGAGGTATCAGTTAAGGGTTTCTTCATGCATGAAGAGAGGCAGATGGCAGACTTCTTTGTTCAGAAAGCTGAATACCAATTTTGTGAGGTTGGCAGTTGTATAATTATCAAGTATTATTTGCATATAAATTTGTTTGATGGTGATTTTTACAACTTGTACCAAAACCCAAGAGTTAACTTCCAGCATGTTTTATTATATCCTCCTTCTTCCTTTGAAGGCCAATGGCAGGTTTGAAGTGGGGAAGAAAATTTGTTTAAGCATCTCAGGGCATCATCCTGAAACATGGCAGCCTTCATGGAGTAGTAAGTAACAATTATTTGGAAAATGTTACCCCCATCAAGCAACTAGATCTTTAAACTGAAAAAAGTCTCACAAAGAATGTTTATAGTGGAAAAGGAGACAGATTTTGAGGGACTAAAAGTATGGGAGAATTTGAGAAATATGAAGTCATGAAAGAGTGACAGGAGGATTTGGGAATGGTATTAAGACAAATGCGGGGTGAAAAGATGAGAAACTGAGGGGTGATGGTAAGCTCTTATTTATTTGGGTGCACAAGCATTAAGAATTCTCAGACTACTTAGAATATTCTTTGGTTTGGGTTTTTTTTTGTAAATTGTTCTTATGAAAATACTTTAAATCCTATTACTTTACCCTGTTTTTGTATAATCATTAAAACCAGCTTGAATATCAATAGAGGGGAGCATGGTCAGTTTTTAATTCTGACGCTGTACTTCTGAACACTCAAGAGGAAAGACAACGTGCTCAGAGCTCAGAATAACTGAATGTTTTCTACCTTCTTTTTAAGTTTCATTGTCACAGAAATTGAGCGTTGGCATAATTCACCCAAGGCAATATTTTTGTGTGTATATAGTTTTAGTTTTGCTGAGTACAGTACATAATTATTTCTTTGGATATCAGTTGCACTTTTAAAATATGTTGATAAGATCTTAGGAATTTTCTAGCAGACCATTCTTCAACTTTTGTAAAATCTCTTATGTTTTTTTAAAGAGTAGAAAATACTGTCTTCTAAATAGGAGGTGTAAATATCCTATCTCTATTTTGTGGTACTTATCTTCATGTGATATTTATTTACCAAATCTACTAGCAGTGTCTTGAATTCTTGAATTTCATGACTACGTAAAACAAAATTGAAGGATAGATACTGTCAAAAGAGATGTTTTAGATGACAATTCTGTTATGAGCTGTTACTAGTATTTAAGTAAGCTCCTTCCCCAGCATGATGACATAAAAGGAACAAATTCTGCAGTACACTGCATAAAAGAAAACCACTGAGCTTGTGTGCACTAAATTGCAGAATTCGTGTCTAATAGAAAACACGCACAAAAAGAAGAATGCCTTATGAATCCTCTTCTTCTTCCCCCACCATTTATATGTTAATTCTGCCTTACCTTTTTTCTTCAGAACCCATTTTTAAAGTGTGGAACTCTAATCTTTCTATTGATGCAATATTTTTGTGACAACTTACCTTTTCTTCTCTGTTGGCTGATGGAAGAATAAGGCCTTACCTTTCATTTATAATGTGAAGTTTAAGAAAGCCTTGCTATGTACCAAAAAAATAGTGCTGCTTGTATGAAATTCAGGCTGCTCTTCTGGGCAAAATGAAGTTTTGCAGGCAGAACCGCAACTTTTCTGTACTGAGTGTAGAGTAAGATGAAATAACAGTTGTTTCTGCAACCTTGTTTGTATCTCTGTTTTCCCATTTTAGTAAGAACAGCTTTACTAGCCATTATTGGATTTATGCCAACCAAAGGTGAAGGAGCAATAGGATCTCTAGATTATACACCAGAAGAAAGAAGAGCTCTTGCAAAGAAGTAAGCACTAAGTTTGTTACTGTAGGTACATATATACATGCTCTCTTTTAGGGTAAGGCACTGAGTAGAAAGTAAGTCACTTCAGTCTGTTCTCTTGCATTTATTCCAAATATAAAAAAAGTTCTATACCTTGTATATATTTTTTTTTTCCTGAACATTGTGCAAACTTGGAACTTATGGTCAAACAAAATACTTTGAGAGGGCTGTGTTCCTTCCAGCATTGTGTGGTCAAATTAGAGGTTCATCTGAAATTCAGGCTTAGAGATGTAATTAACATTGTGATACAGTGGTAATTGTGCCATGGAGGGAAAATGAGTATGATGGAATTGATAGTAAGTGTAAGTGGGGGAGAAAACAACCAAAACAATGATGCATCATTTCCGTTAAGTAAGTAAATAACAATGAAACAATGACAAAAAAATCTGAAACAACTGCTTCTGAATGATTTTTAGGAAATTAACTTAAAATCAGATTTGTGACTATGATGAAATGATTAGCTTAGTGGACAAGGGGAAAGCAGTGGATGTTGTTTATCTTGACTTTAGCAAGGCTTTTGGTGCTGTCTTCCTTACCATCCTCAGAGAAACTCATGAAGTACAGCCTAGGTAGGTGGAGACAGGTGGATTAAGAACTGGCTGAGCTGCCTGACTCAAAGGATTGTGGTAAGCAGCACAAAGTCCAGCTGCAGACCAGTCACTACTGGTGTACACCAGGGGTCGATACTGGGGCCGGTGCTATTCAGTTGTCATTAATGACCTGGATGATGGGGCAGAGTGCACCCTCAGCAAGTTTGCAGATGATACAAAACTGGGAGCAGTCGCTGATACACCAGAAGGTTGTGCTGCCATCCAGAGGAACCTCAACGGGCTGGAGGAATCTCATCAAGTTCTCTATGGGGCCTGATGGGATCCACCCGAGAGTGCTGAGGAAGCTGGCGGAGGAGCTCGCCAAGCCACTCTCCATCATTTATCAGCAGTCCTGGTTGACGGGGGAGGTCCCGG